ATTTCACCCTTCCTTAATGGGTGCACTGGAAACCAGTCTATGTCATGGACTGGTTTATTTTAATGTCTATCCTAGTCTGAATTTATCTTTAACAGATAAAAATATCCATGAGGCCGTCAGTCTTCGTGTTCAGACCTATGGGTATGATTATTTACCTGGATCGGAAGTGATACGTGTTATTTATCGCATCCATTACAAAGTACTTGATACTATGTGTCCAAATACCATACGCAAAGACTCTAAAGGAGTGACAGCGTTATGGGACACCAATATGTACACATCAAATGTTGCCACAAAAAGGATGATTCCTTGGAGTGAAATAACATTTCCTGAACATTGGACGATTTCTAACGCAGTTCCGGCAAAGCCAATTGCTAATCATAGCTTGGACTGTATTATTCAGGACCAAGATGGTGATGTTTTTCTGAATTTCAGAAAATCAATAGATCTACCTAGATCTACATCATCTAAAGGAAGTCATCTTCCTTATCATGTTTCTTGTCCTCCTTCTCGCCATTCGATTTCGTCGGATTACAGAAAGGACGATCTCCCTCAAGTCGTTGGTTCAAATCAACTCAAGCTGAAAGGAATACAGCAATCTCAGAATCAAATTCCAAGAGGAGTCTACGAGAAAGCACTAATAGGTATGTCTCGTCGCCAATTTGGAATTGAATTCAGCCCAACTCCATCTGAAATGGGAATCGGAAATAAATCTGTCAAGGATCAATTTGATGATCCTACAGACATCAATGACCCTCATGAATATTAGTTTTAATGGATTTTGTCCCAGATAGAATTGCCATTAATACTGAATTTCAACAGGATCAATATAAAGAATTCAGAAATTAGTATTTTAAAGCTTTTGACCAAAAACAATTACAGCTTTTTAAAACTCAATTTTATGATTTTCTACAAGAACGCAAAATGGTTATACCTTTTGTTTCTTGGTTCTTTATGACCAATCATTCTCTTGTTAATATAAACATACTGGATGATTTTCTCAAAACATGGACCACATCTGAAGATAAGGTTTATCACTCTGTCCATCCTCCCACTGAACATCTAATTCTGAAAAGGATTGACCCTGACAGTGGTGCCAAAGTGGAAACCAAGGCTTATAGCCAACCTAAAATAATTGATCCATCCTGTAATGCTACTAAGAAAGACATTTCTCATGTTTACAGGCAGAACAATTATACGAGTGTTTGTTTGCAAACGATAGGATCTCAGCTTGGGAGAATTGAAACAGGAATAAACACAGTATTAAATACAATTAATACTAAGGGATCTCAGCTTGGGAGAATTGAAACAGGAATAGACACAGTATTAAATACAATTAATACTAAGTGTATTACTGATAAGACTTCTCCTCCTGAAGCTTCCCTATCCAAAGCATTAGTCAAACCTGCAATTGAAGTTAAAGGCTTCAGTCTTTCACATCCTAAGAATAATAATAATAATAATAAATTGGCAAACCTCAGGAATGTCATTATAATAAATTAATAAGGTGAGGTAATTAGTAATTGCCTAAATATATAAATGAGCAAAGTACAGAAAAAAAACCCCTCGACTTGTACCATTTTCCAGTAAACCACTCATCTAATTTTTTACCAAAGAACCCCCCTTAACTTATAGCCCTTTCTAATAAATCCCCTTTATTTAATTTTTTACTAAAGAACCCCCCTCAACTATCTAAGGGGGGTAAAAGAGTTGATATTTGGTCCAAAATGTCCTTTTATTTAAATTTTAATTTTTTCGAATTTCAAAAATTAATATCTAACAAGGGTTCTAGAAATATAAGATTTATTTAACAAATTTTATAACCAAAGAGAAATAGGCAATCTAAAAATTTACTGCAACATTCTTATTTTATTTTATTTTATATAAAATACTTGGGTTATTTGCAATAAAATTTTTAAAATTATTCATTTTCATATGGGGCATAACATATAAAACAATTAGCCCCAAGAGAGACCGAATATTCATTTTTATTTTATTTTTGACTAGTGAGTCTGTAAAAGAATAAAAATGCTTTGACACAAAATATGATATCTCATGAAATCAATCTCTGTTGGCACTAAATTTTTTATATATTCGGCTCCATATGTAAATGAATGATTACGAAAATTTTCTTGCATATATTTTGAATATTTTTTTAAAAAAAATAAAATAAAATTGTTAAAGTAGATTTTTAGATTGCCTATTTTTCTTTAGTTATAAAGGCTTATTATACAAATTTTATATTTTTGGAATCCTTATTTCATAAGCTTTCCGTGCATATATTATTTATAATTTTTAAATGTACGGTTTGTGAGATATGAATTTCTGAAGTTTGAGATAATTAAGATTTAAATAAAAGGGCATTTTGGTCCAAATATAAATTCTTTTACCCCCTTTAGATAGTTGAGGGGGGTTATTTGGTAAAAAATTAGACAAGGGGTATTTATTGAAAAAATGTTACAAGGCGAGAGGGGTTATTTGATAAAAAAAAATAGATAAGGGGTGTTTACTAGAAAATGTTACAAGTCGAAGGGGGGTTTTCTGTACTTTGCCCTATATAAATTAATAATGGAAAGTAATTAGTAATTGATGAAATAGTGTTCTATATAAATTAATAATCGAAGGTAAGATGCCTTTTACCCTATTAAAAGGGTATTTTGGAATTTTTATAAAAATAAAATATTAGTCAAAATGGCTGATTAAAGGGCAATTTGCATCTAAAAAAAATAATAGGAGGTTTTTTGCAACAAAAAAAAAAAAAAAATAGTAGGGTTTTTATTTTGTATCTTTTTATTAATAGTGAGGGTATATTTTGTACTTAACTCTTATCCTTTAATTGATACTCCCACATCCCGAGCTGATATTTTACTTTTAATAGTGAAAAATTTAAACAAAAAAAATTAATATACAGTTTTAGAACAGTATTTTTCAAAATATTGTACAAAAATCAACTTTATTGACAATTATTTTTTAATACTTTGTTAAAAAATACTAAAAAGATTGATCAGTTTAGATTGCAAATATCCCTAGGTGGAGTGAAATACTAGTACTTAACGTCAATTGAAAATATAAAGATTGATTAGTTGTATTTCGTGAAAAATGAGAGGGAATGAAAACTTGATAAATAAGTTTGAATGGGAAAGAAGAGACTGTGAAAAGACGTTTTCAAATCCTTTCAATTTTTCTAGCATTCGTCCAATTTATGAAATTTCTTGATAAATTTATCTCTTTTAAAATCCTACCAATTCCAAATATATGAAGAGCTTGTTTGGGATTGTTTCTTTAATTTAAAAGTGTTTTTATTTTTTTAAAAAGTTAATTTTATAAAATCCCACTACTTTTAAATATTGATTATAAACCCTTAATCTATTTCAAAAAACCACTTATATTTTTAAAAAGTGATCACATTGCCCCAATATCCATACCCGACCAGTTAATTGGGCTGTGAAATAACAAATTTGACCAAACTATTTAATGTTAAATTTAAAACTGATTTTTTTTTTTTATAAAATTTAAAAAATATCCTTGTCATCTTCATTCCCCTATTTCGTTTTAAAATTCTCACAGTTCGATAAATAGGAGATGGAGAGTTCGACAAAGAGGAGGTGGGTATGGTGTCGTGGTAGCGGAGCTTGCCGTTGGGGGGGGGGGGGGGGGGGGGGGGGGAAGGACATATGAATTTGATGGTGGAGACGGAGGATGGTTTTAAGGGTGTTGAGAGAAAGAGTGACCATGTTGATTGATTTGGGTTTGGTGTTGCGATTGGTAAGAAATTAGGATTGAGTCTTTGAAGATCGTTGGTGCCAGCATGGCGACCAAGGTCATTGTGTAAACTGTAAAGTCCATGAACAGTGCTGATGCCAATTACAAGGTGGTCGCCGTTAACAGGTTTAAGAAATTCATATCTTTGCTCGATCGAACCAGAACCGGTCACGCCCATTTTAAAAAAGGTCATGTTTCTCCTCTTCCTCCTCCTCGACAACAACACAAAGCTCTAGAATTTGAGCCGTTTGTTCAAGCGACGGTCAATCATCACACGATGGAGGATAAACATGGTTCGATTTATAGGGTTTATTGTCCCACTCCGATTTAGCGCTTGCCTCCACTATCTCACAACCATCACAAGTTGGTCAAAAATGAATCCACCACCACCAACTCCTCCTCTGTTTTTATCACGCTATCACAGAGTTTCAGAGAGAGAGTTTTAGAGGGGTGAAGAAGAAGAGTGTAGTTTTGTAATTTTAGAAAAATTATTTTCAGTTTTTAATTTAACATTAAATAATAGCAAGGTCAAATTTGTTATTCACAGCTCGGTTAACGGGTCAGACATGGATATTGGAGGTAATGTGATCACTTTTTAAGTGTAGGAGTTTTTTTTTAAATAAGTTGGGGATTGTGATCAAAATTTGAAAATAGTAGGGGTTTTATGAAATTAGCTCTTTAAAAATTATATTTATTGTGTTTGGTAACTATTAGAAGTGTTTTTTATGATTACTACATTTAGTTCAGTAAAATATTTGAAGATTTAGAGTTTTTAAAGCCAATATTTTAAGTAACTATTTTCATTAAATAATTTTGTTCTCTTTATTTTTTATAAAAACAATTAAACTCATTTCTCAATAAAGTTGCTATTATCAAATATTGTGAAATTATATTAAAGAATATTATTGTAAATTTAGTAATAGAAGTGTTTAAAAAAATTATTACCAAATAAATTAAACAATAATTTAATTATAAAAAGTAACTTGTCACTTACTACGTTTTTTTACCGACAGTAATTTTTTAATAGATCTGATAAAAATCATAAAAGTGTTTTTTTATTCAATTCCCTAATCCAATTCGAGCCGTTCCTCTCATTCCAAACACACAGTGTTACAGTGTCAAATCATGTCAAGGGGCTAACACACAGATTGTAGGGCCTTTCTGTTCTAGGGTTTTCTTGTGCGTTTTGGGTGTGCGATCAATTAAAAGACACACAAACAACAATCGAAGCCGTGCATATGTGCAAAGAAGAAGTGAAGAAAAAGCAGAAAACAGAAATCAACAGGATGGAAAGCAGCAAGAAACACTCTTACACTCGTGGTTTTCCCATAATGGATCTGCCTGACTTCATCATCATGGACATTCTTTCTCGGCTTCCAATCAGGACCCTCTTACAGTCCAGGTGTGTTTGCAAAACTTGGTTCAACTTACCCTTAGACCCTTATTTCAACAATGTTCGTCTCGCAACATCACCCTCCATCAATATTGTGTCTCCATCGCTTAATGGTTGTTCATTAGTTGAACTACAGGACCGTGACTGTAACTACACTCGTCTACGTTACAGACTGTTGTGGTTCCGAAAACTTCAACGTCAGATGGCAATGTCGTCCAGTTTAAAACTAGAATTCTTGGGTTCTTGCAATGGTTTACTCTGTTTCTCGGATTACTACCATAACAATGTAAGCATGCTCAACCCAATTATGGGAGAATATGTTGCCCTTCCAAAACCCAAAACGGAAACGAAAAAGAGAGAAAAATTTTACGATTGTGGCTTATGGGTTTGGAAGTAGTTCGGCCTCCGGCCAGTTCAAGGTGGTAATTGTATGTAAATTGGTTGAGGTTTTTAGTCTTGCATCTGGTATATGGAGAATTATGGGAGATGCACCATTCTTACTTATGTCATCATCAGTGGGTAAGGTTGGGATTAATTTGAACGGGGCTATCCAATGGGTTGTGACTCGTTCTCAAATATATTATTGGAATGTTGACGACGAACAATTCGGCTCAATTCCATTGCCTCCGGATTTGGAATGTTCTGTCAGCTTGGGAGTGCTAGGGAACTGCCTCTGGGTACTTGATGTTGATGCTCAATTGGATCAGTTTGATCTATGGTCAATGAAAGATTATGGAGTAGCTACGTCTTGGGGTAGAGATTGCATTTTGAAAAACCCCATTCCGTGGTTGACATATTGCCCAGTTCAACCCATCACAGTATGGAATGGTGGAGAGATCTTGATGTCTTGTAATGGTGATGGTGGTCTGGTATCTTATAATCCGAAACGAAGGAATTTTACCAGGCCCAAAGTTAACGGATTAGGGCACCGAGTAGTTACTTTTGTCTCAAGCTTTCAGTCACTCAAGAATGTTCCCTGGCAGAATGTTTGAGGATTCTTAATGTAACGACCCTAAACTGATATCATTAATAAAAAAAAAATTTCGGCATGACCTCCGCTAAAAAGGATCCTACGACAACCTGTTTAAATGCATTTTTAATCTATCCCAAAACAATAAATATATAATACATTCCAGCATCCCTTTCATCCATTTATCATGCCTCAACATAATTCATCTCATGGTGGAACACCCACATACCATTTAATCCACGTATCGTAATTACAGTCCCAACAATACGTGATTAAGATCTAAAGTATGTCTTACAACGTTTATGTAATGTCTGTGTGTGGGAAAAAAAAAAATGGGTGGGACCCACTCCAATTTTAAGTCTATGGAATGGGTAATGGGTAATGGGTCATTACAGACCCACTATTTTTCTTTTTTTCTTCTCTCTCCCGCTGCTTTTTTTTTTTTTTTTTTCTTCTTCACAATTAAGCTTAATTTCTCCCTCATCTCTTAGTGTTTTAAAGAGGCGTTTGAGGCAAAACGAAGCCCACTACGAGCTCTTCGCATCCATACGAACAATTCCAGATTTGGTGCCCTACTTGGAGTTCGAAATTCAAGACCCATTTTAAGGGTTTTGTGCAAATTTGAGGTAGGGGCTCTTAATTCCCCTTTTTCTTGCTCTTATGTGAATTACATCTGCTAAATTGTTGTAAAGCATGCTTGATTATGAATTAATTGTCTTGAGGATGATGTAGATGTTATATGAGAAGTTGTGATTAAATGGGCTATGTGAATTGTATGCGAACGTGTTTATTTGGTTAATTTCTTATTTAATAGTTGATATAGCATACCTATATTGTTGTAAAATTTTTTAGAAATGATATGTGATGGCATGTGTAATTTTTCCTCAATATTTGTAGAGTATATTTAAATGTGAAATATAAAATCTCTTAATTCTATGGCATTGTGAAAGCAAAACATATATGTATACCATGGGTCATGATTGGGAAGATTGTTTTGAAATGAAAAAGGGGGATTTTGGGAAAGCGTTTAATGAAAAATGTTTTATGAAAACCCGGTCGTCGCGGGGGTACTAAAGGGCCGGAGTGTTAATATAGCCTAGAGGGAACTAGGGAGTCGCCCTAGCGTGGTTGAGCTAGCTGGGTCCATAATGACGCCGCGGGGGTACCAAGGGTCAGGGACACTAGCCAATCCTTCTCTCGTGTCACTGAGGGGTCACCAAAGGGCGGGTTATATTAACAGTTTGAAAGTGATGATTTTTGAGATGTGAAAATAGGGAGCGACATTGACATGCATTGCATTCCCATTACATTATATTGTTTATATTTGAGTTGATTGTTATATGATATGATCTCGGCATAGTATGACCCCCATTCCCATTGCTCTATTCTTTGGTTGAATTCACTGGGACACAAGAGGCGTGTCTTAAGTTTTACCTACTGAGCTTTATGCTCACCCTATTATTTAATAAAAAAAATTCAGGAAACGGGAAAGAAGTGGCGGATGACTTTCCACCACAGGCCTAATTTGGATTAAAAGACTTCTTTTTGCTATTTTTGTATTAAGTCTCATATTTTTGTAAAATCTTAGTTTGTTATATTTGGTTTAGAGATTTGTGAAACTCTTGTTATTGTAACTATATTTTGGGACTGTAATTATGATAATTGGGATTAAATGGTATGTAGATGTTCTACCATGAGATGAGCCATGTTGAGGTATAATGAACGGATGGATGGAATGTTGAAGTATGTTAATTGTATTTGTGCTGGGACAGGTTTAAAATTCTTTTAAACAGGTTGTGGTAGGCCCATTTTTTAGGGGAGGTTATGCCGAATTTTTTTTTAAATGGTATCAGTTTAGGGTCGTTACAAATTTGGTATCAGAGTGATGGTTCGAATACCATTAGGACGACGGGTAGAAGCTTACCTAGGGTTGTCTAGGAAGTCATTTGCAGTGTTATTTCCTTATTTGCAAAAGTGTTTTACTATGTGAAAACGCATGCTTAACTGCTTACTTGCTTACGTGCTTATGTGCCTATATGCTTCTATTAATGTGTTCATTGTATAGTATTACATGCTAAATGTTTGTACAGTATCTTTTTGCGTTGGGTTGTTCACAGTTGGACCTTAGTGTTATCGTTATTGAATTGTTTTCTTTGTTTTATAGAACGATGTCACAGCATGAGGAAACCAGGGAAGTTGGCCATAGACCGACTAGGGGTGATGTTGGAGAGAGCTCCAGCTCCAATCCGGAGGAGCTAAATGATGAGGACATACTTTTTAGGGACTTGATTCCCCCGAGAGTTGTCCCCACAAGGAGGGATAATATTGAAGCACCCGTAGAAGTGGGTGAAGGTTCTGTGGCACTGGAGTTGAATCGTTTGTTGCAAAATGCCGTGAAGGCAAGATTGCTGCTCAGTCGCAGTCGGCACCACAGCCTACAGTTCAAGTTGAGGAAACGCCAGCTCAGAAGCGTCTCAAGATCATTAAGGGGTTTTCTCAGCTGATGCCGGTTATGTTTGAGGGCGGTGCGGATCCAATGGCAGCAGATGACTACCTGGATCAAGTTGAGACTCAACTAATTTCAATGGATGTGACGGAGGATCATTTGAAGATCATCCTAGCTACTTATAAGTTTGCTAAGGATGCCAAACTATGGTGGAAGTCGGTTACGAGCCGATATAAGGTGGAGGAGATGAGTTGGGACAAGTTCAAGGAATTGTTTTATAAAAAGTACTTTCCGCTTTCCAAAAGATGGGAGTTACAAGACCAGTTTCATAACTTTATTCAAGGGAGTATGTTAGTGGCGGAATATGAGAACAAGTTCACTTCACTTTCTCGCTTTGCTCCAGAAATGGTGAAAGATGAAGCTAACAAGACTCGGAAGTTTGTTTCTGGTCTTAATGATCAGATGAGGCCGTTGATCACGGCACAGTTCATTAAGGTTTACTCTGAAGCAGTGGAAAGGGCTTTGATGCTAGAGGCTGATAATAAAGAGAAGGATGCAAGAAGAGAGCAGTTGAAGCAAAAGAGGGGTGCAGGGCCATCTTCAGAGGGATCTTCTTGGAAGAGGAACAAGAGTGGTTCATTTCAGTTTTAGGGGCAGCAGTCTGCACAATCCGCTTCTACCACTCCTTTGCCAGCTGGGTCTGATACAAGTGGAGTGGTTTGTTTTCATTGCCAGCAAGGCCATCTGATCCGGGATTATCCTACTCGAGGAGCAGGCACCGGTAGTGGCAGAGGGTCACAGCAGAGGCTGTCACAATCGGCTACAGTTCAGTCAGGTTTCAGACCACCGCCACCACTACAACCTGCCAAGTCTTCTCAGGGTTCACTACCAGCAAGGAGGGATACTCCTACTGTGTCGACACAACAGTCTGGTGTACAGATTAGTAGTTCACTGGCACAGGCACCGCAGGGACGTGTCTTTTCACTTGCACCGACTGATGCATCTCCTAGATCTTCGGTTCTTCGAGGTATATTTATAGTGTTTGGTTGTTGGGCCCGTGTTTTGTTTAACTTTGGTGCATCTCATTCCTTTATATCATCATCATTTGCACTTGAATCGGGGTTAGAGGTCAGTTTTATGGATCGGGCATTGTATATTGATACGCCAGTTGGGGTTTCAGTGTCTTTGAGTCGAGTTATGCGGGATTGTTCCATTGTGATAGCCAGACGGACTTTTGTGTTTGACCTTATCCTCCTGGAGATGACTAGCTTTGATGTCATTCTCGGGATGGATTGGTTAGCTTCCTTTCATGCCACGATCGACTGTTTTAGAGGTAGGGTTACAGTTTGTACTCCCGAGGGAGACTTTCTTTTTCGTGGGAGATCGGAGTGATTCCCACATTTCATTATTTTATGGAGTTCGTGGACGGAGTCATGGTGATTACTTCTTGGCTAGCCTTATGGTCGAAGAGGATGATGTTGTGGAAGGAGATTATCCTGCAGTTGTTCGTAATTTTTTGGATGTGTTTCCGGATGATTTGACAGAGTTGCCTCCACACCGAGAGGTGGAGTTTACTATTGATTTTATGCCTGGTACGGCGTCGATTTCTATGGCACTGTATCGTATGACACCAATTGAGTTAGAAGAATTGAAAAGGTAGCTTGATGATTTGAGGATAAAAGGTTTCATCCGACAGAATGTGTCACCATGGGGCGCGCCGGTCTTGTTTGCTAAGAAGAAAGATGGTTCTTTGAGATTGTGCATTGATTACCGGAAGTTGAATCGTGCCACCATCAAGAACAAGTATCCTTTGCCAAGGATAGATGATTTATTTGATCAGTTGAAGGGAGCCAGTTGTTTCTCGAAAATTGACTTGAGGTCTGGCTATTATCAATTACGGGTAAGGGATGAAAATATCCCGAAGACAGTATTTCGTACACAGTATGGACACTATGATTTCTTTGTTATGCCTTTTGGCTTG